AAGCCCGAAAATTTTTCATATCCCTAATAGAGTTTCTCCAAAAACGCTATCGTTTATAATCTTATTAGCTGCCGGAAACTCCGTGTTAAATAGAACGTTATTTGCAGGGATTATTTATCATGAGTAAGCAAGTTACAATTGTCCTCCAACTGAAAATGCTGTCTCTTAAGAGATTTCTATCCGATTTCTAAAGATACCCTAGTGTTGTGCTAACCCCTTCAAATTACGGCTCATTTTTATGCATATGTTAGAAATAACTACGTCGACCACTATCTAACGATACGATATACAAAATTCTACAAAAATTAAAAATTCGTAACTAACTAAGCGGCACTTGTAGGTACTTCCCATACAAAATAAAATAAAGGTTCTCCAGTTAGATGTTAGAATGGAAAATGCGGACGTTTACTCACCGTGGTCATGACCCATTTCAAGCCATTGGCTCGGGAATGTAATGAATACTGTGTATTAAAGACGTGCTCGAGACTATTTACGATCATTATTACTTATCAGAATGAAGTATTAAGAGAATAAGTTAGTTGATCTGAAAAAAGGCTTAACAACACTGTTGGATGTTTGTCTTAAACTAAGTAATATTCTATATTAAATTTGTTAGAATTTAATGTGTTTATAGGTTTATACAACTTTCAGAATAAACGTATTATTGTAAAAGTAGGCACATTTTCTGACCACTCAAATTACGTTTACTTACATTAATTATTCTTGAATAAAATTTAAATGCTTACAAACGTTTCTCAAATATTATAATTTAAAAGAGGCTACGCAGTTATTATGAAAAAAACGTGATGATCAAATGAAAAAACGAATCGTGTCCATGTCCAAAAACGATTTTGACCAATGACTCAAAACGCGTTCGCTTTTATTTCTCACCCCCGTGGACGTATACTATTATTTGAGTTAAACAAAATATTTAAATATGTATATTTTCTTAATCTATCTAATAAATAATAAATAAAAATGAATCGCAAATGTTGCTAAGCGCAAAACTCGAACGGCTGGACTAATTCGTTCAGTAATAGTTTTATTATCTATTCCTTGAACTCTGAGGAAGGATGTTATGGAGAAATTTATAAAAAAATTGTTTAATTAAGTACTTCGTTTTATTCCAGAAAAGCGAACAGAATGGAATAGAATAGCAAAATGTTCCATATGTTGGTATGTAGCTACTAAAAGGTAGGCTAAGTAAAATCATATTAGAACGAAACGAAATTCGCGGGCGCAGCTAGTTTATTATAAAATCCTGTCTTGCGACTCGATAAGCTTCGATTCACTGTAAGGGTTATAAAGTTTATAACTTTTGGTAGACGGCCGGATGGATTGGCCTCACCCAAATCAATTAGTTCATTAGTTGGAAATTGATTTTGAATTTTGTTGGCTATTTCATATTCGAAGTACATATGCCGCATTGGCGTATATATCTTGAGAATAATCAAAAGATTATTTTTATTTAATTTGTTTTGTATAAATAAATTACTGATACTTAGCATCGGTATAAACATATATATTTATAACATTGAAGTTAGAATAATATGAAAATATATACATAAATAACTTTTGTTAAATAAAAAGTTTTCTTCCTGCACTTAAAGATAAGTATGGAAGTCCAAAATCCAAATTAATTTAACAGCTCCAAAACAAGTATTGTGACAATATTTTTAACAGTTTAATAAACATTTATCGACTTGAATAATAAAATCTGGTTTCCATAGCAACGATGTCCATGTCTGCTCTGTCACGCTGATCATTAACTTCGGTGCTAACTTGAGACCGTCATGATATTTTGCCTCCATTAAGGCTTGTTGACTTACCCTCATAAGAGCGGTGAGTGCGGACTGAATGTCGTCACGCACACGACATTTTACGATATTGGGGTTTATAGAAGAAACTGATTTTCATTCTTATTCATGCTTGTAGTTAAGCAGCTTAGTATATTATGTGCCTATTGTTACGTTATATTTTTTTAAAAGGTCTTTTTAATATGTATATCTTATATTATACATTCACACTTAAAAAAATATACATATAAGTTGAAACAATATTAGTGTAACAATTGTAAGTCGTAAGGAATGTTCTAAAAAAATATTTAGATTTCTTAAAATTTTATGTTATTAAGAAAAATATTCAGCAACATGAACGCTTGGTTAATTTATTAGTCATTAATATGCAATATATTCTTACAAATGTGTCATGTTGTAGTCGTAGGAACCCGATGGAGTATTGGGTAGGCTGCGTCCGTTCAGCCAGGTAATTACTTTCCATCCTGAAATAAATAATTTCCGTATTTTTAACGCTTCTTCGTAATGCATTTTATTACCTATTAAACCACGTAGGGCCTCTAATGTAATATTTATAAATAAGTTAGTAGATTAATTAATGTCTAAACTATAAATTAATTCTATTTCTTTGAATTACAAGTAAATAAAACATTTCCCCACAAGAATCCAAAAGCAACTACAACGCTTTTGGATCTTGTTAGGAGGAGTAAATGTCGCCTTGAATTTCACAACAACTGACAAAGCACATATGGTAGTTGCTGAAGGTTAGATCCGAAAAGAGTTCGACAACAGCTGATGTAAATCCATTTAGCTCTGCAGTATCTCATTCTACGTCGGATACCGAACTGATGACCCACTGACCTATTTATGGACTGCAGCAGCACTGTATACCTTATTTGTTTCACGTTCTGGCACTGATTCCAAATCAGCTCTTTCATATTCATGATCGCGTATTCTAAATTTCGAGGGTTTTTTTTAATTGAAATTGCTCCGAGTTGGCAGTCTGGAAATTAATTTGCATAATTTAGAACAGTATCACTGATCTCCTCAATTTACATTTTTAACTTTCTCGAATATTAACTTGTCGTTGATTTTAATTCTTATTATTTTTATTGCTATCCTACTTTGTTGTGCTACGAAAATGTAGCGAGCGTAGCAGTCGTAGCTGTACCTTGCTTAGTACAATACAGTACAGTACAGTTAGTATTGTACACCTGCAGCTAGTGTTTTCGACCTAGACATTGTTTAGTTTGATTTTATGGCTATTAGTGTAAAGGATAACTATGTTTTGTAAAGCAGACATTGGTCTGATACAATAATAATATATATAATATTTTATATATGTTTTAAATCACCGATAACCGCGGTTTGAATTTCACCGGAATTTCAATTATAAGCACACAAAGTTGTATCGGTTAGTGATTGTGGCTCTGTTTTTTTTGCCTTAAATCGCAGCTGAACATCAGACCACAGGCCTGTTTTGCATTTATATTAAAAAGTTCATGTGATAAAATCATGGCTTCTGTTATCAAACTGAATAAGTATAACGTTCAGTATCCGAAGCTTTTTATAAGGCATTAAACGAATATTAAAATTAATTATGAAAACTCTTGTACGGGTTAAAGCTTCACCTTTGTTAATGGATAATAGCCGAACTCGGTCGATAAGCCGGCTCAGGACATGGCTTAAATTTTTCCGTTCGCCAATTAAAACGTGCTTTAACGAGTGCCCTAGTGCACGACTTGAATATTTTATGTTTGCAACCTCTCGGGAAATTAATGTAGGGCGCAATAACCCATTCTTCTTCGGCTTAAGGCGCTGGGAAATTTAAAACATCCGTCTGTATTATTTAATCTTGTTTGCTTGTTTTTATGCGGTAAACTTTCTAAGCTTAAAGTTTGGCGTCTTGATGTTTACTCACCAGCTATACATTTCATCAAAATTTAGTAGTTGTTCAAGAATAAGTTAATAATTTATTTACATATTCTTAACTACAAATACTTTGTTAATAAATATTATACAATATTAAAAAAACGCAAATAAGACAATATAATAGATACTTAAAAGCATTTCAATCTGCACATTAACATGATCAAAATGAAAGCGTTTCGGCTCTTTGTTTTACTTTAATATTCCTCCGAAGAATTGTTGAAATCTCTCCAGCGGTTTCCAATAAATTTTGCATCTTCGACATGCACAAGACGTCGTTCTCATTGATATTCAAGCAACATTAGCACAATTGAACAGAAATTTCGATCGTGTTTATCTTTCCTGTTTCGTTTGCTCTACTGGGGTAACAAGAGATGCGAAATTGAATTCATCAGCCAAACATTTGCTGTCGAAACTGAATGTGGCTTACCGCTGTCTAGGCTCGTACTGCGGCTTTAATTCTGCAACTACCCAATTATTCCACTGTACTGCTTTTCAAACACGTGAGATCCCTTTTTTACCTCACTGAAGTACGAGTTACGCTTTGTCCGTAACTGGCATACGTGATACCTTCACTTAGGTATGATTTTTCAACGTTTTACGATTCGAGAATTGTTACACCTCGGAGATTTGGATTTTCTTTACCATAAAGAAACCGTTCGAATATTCACTAAGTTGAGACTATATATTTCTACGAATCTCACGTTGATATTTTTTCTAGATTTATTAATTCTAACTACGTTTCTTTTGATCTTACGGGCGACAGCTATTTCTTTCAACTTTAGTTGTTATCTACTTTTAATGTAAAATGGTGGCCTTAAATATGTGACCCACTTTTATCGGGACAAGGCCGTGGCTGGTTTTGTGTAACCTACTTGGAAGATGTATACATCGTTGAGATAATGCGTCTTATTTAATTATCATTGAGATTTCCAACGGGCTAATTAACTGGGCTGTATTCTGCTTATTTCCGAGACGGAAATCTAATTCGAAGAGATCGATCGACGTTGTAAGTATTAAGTCATGTGAATTTTGTGACAAAGTTTTATAAAGTGTAGTGAAAAGTGAAAGACCGAAATATTGAGTGAAGGATCGATACGATGCGCGTTTGGTGGCGATCGCGTCGGAGACGCTAAGCACCGGTGACCTTCAGCGGAAAGGGTGTCGGGGCGCGAGCGAGAGGATTGGTGCCCGCACGAGGCGCGGCGGCATGCGCTGACGTGTGCGCGGCGCTGCGCGTGCTGTGGCGCAGCGCGATGCCCCCCCGGGCCTGAAATGGAGGAGGGGGGTTTCTGGCGGCCGTCCTGCTCGACGCTGTCGCTGGCCGAGCACCATGGCAGCGCGACGCACCTATGCGCCCGGCACGCGCCGCGCATGCCGCATCGCCACCTCGCGCATCCACATGCGGGCCACCCGCATCATGTGCACTCCCATCACGCCCATGGACACCATATGCAGCATGCGCAACCAGTCTCCTGTCCCGTGCACAGCCCGTTCAGACAGCCTACACCCGAATACTGTGCAGCGCATGCTCAGGTTTGTTATATTAAAAAATGTATGCTTATTTTTTAATAAATAAATAAGTTTATCGACGCAAACACTATGAATTTAGTACTAGATAGACTTTTACCACAAATATATGAAAAATAGAACTGATGATTTAAAATTCGGTTTATTTCACAATACAATACTGGTCGAGCGAGTTTGCTTATCTTGCCGAAGCCGCGTACAAATTATTTGAAGAAGTCTATTAAGTATGAGGGTGCTCAAATATTTAATCAATTACCGTCTAAAATTCGTAATATTAGCGCGTTTAACCAATTCAAAAGAGCATAAAAGATACATGTCAGAATGAGCCTAGTAGACTGAAATTAGCACGGCTGATGGCGACGTGTATCTCGTTCGTATATATTAAGTTTCTTACGTAAATAAAAATATATTTTTTTGTAATGAGAAATAATCTTTAAACATTATTTGAAATATCAAACATATTCCTATACAATTAACACCCACAAAGTTAACGTTTAATTAATCTAACAGTTTCAATTAATGATTGATCATTACCATTCGTATCTACTTTACGCTTCACGGACTCACTGTTAACCGCGGTTACAGCACCAAGGCTGAAATTCGTGGAATGAACGCCGCAAATCCGCAAATCTATTAATACATTTCAACTCAATTTAAATTCCACAAAATGATGGTGTTACTAACGACTTACCACGGCTGGTCATGTAGTACCTCTACATTGATATAAAAGATGTGCATACATTTTTAGTTTGACCTGCCACATGCTAGGTGAGCATAAATTTTTATGCTTGGTAAAACATACACTCTTTAGCACTCTATGGAAATTTACGTTTTAAAATTAATTTCAGTTAATTAAATGAAATTTAATTGTCTGACAACTGTTTACTTATAATCGTGTAAATTAATACGCGTGAAGTGAATTCTGGCAATATTGTTATTAATGTTTGATGAATCTTTTTAAAAAAAAGGTTGGGTATAAACAAGAAGATTTTTTTTTTACTTTTTTTAATTACATAATGTTACAAATGTAAAAACCTAATAACGACTGTGACCTCTTGATAAAATCATACGTAAATTTCCTTAGGTATCCGTTTTTTTGCAAGAGTTTAGATGTTATGCATTTATCTATGCTTTATCATTGTAAGAACATTGAAACACACTTTATATTTACTTGAAGCATTAAGAAACAGCGCTATAAACTTTATAATGAGCAGCATCAAGCACATTCGTCTCAAGAAGGACAAAATAAATTGAACGCTCATTTGTAATTGAATAAGTCGTTTTCGCTTTATAGCGGTTGGAATTAAGATGTCTTATGAACTTCATCATCAAGGTATATAATAGCTTTTTGTGTAGGGCGAAAGTTCAAAATATGTAATAAATAAATAACGATTTTCATGATAGCGTTTAGTGGGCTCTCTCGTAATGTAACGAGTTGACAAAAATATGCCTATATATATTACTAAAAGAATTACAAATCTTTCTGGCAGTAATTTTTTTAGACTTGCGAACTAACGTAACGTAATTAAATGATTTCATTATAAATAATTGTACACGTCTCTTATGAACGAATGGTAGTGAGAATAAAAGAAAAGACGAAAATTACGCGTGCGTATGATTAAAGACTTTCTCTAATATATTAGGTTTATTAGGCAGTACTTTAAAGAAACTTGTGAGAAAGAGAGAAGAAAAATACAATTGTTTTTTTATGCTATGATTAAAACATCATTAAGATTAAAGGCTTACCTTACTAAAATATTAATTGCAATCATGATAAATGAACAAATTATCGGCGGTTACTATAAAAACAGCAATTTTTCATAACACTGCCAAGAAATATTAGCAAGTTCCAATAATATGGTGACAACATCGTCACACGCCGCAGCTGCGCTTGATTGATGATATCTACTTCATAATGTATACGTAATGTGAGGGGCTGATGTTCGAATATTGAATTAGATTTATTTTTCAATTTTTCTTAAGAATCCCTTCAACGTCCTCGTCACGTGTAAAAGTTTACCTGTTGTTTTCTAAATCCCTTCCATTTAGATTCAAAACCACAACTTATACAACTCCTAAAGTTCCATAATAGTGATATAGACATGATTGAAATATTAAATTAAATATTTACAAAATATGGCTTCTTCCTATTATGCCATTTCAATGAATATAAGAAAATTAGCTGTCGCGCGGTGCGTTGGCGGAATGGCGAAATTATATATGAATGAGAAAAGAAGGCGGATACCCTAAAAGGAGAAATTTCTGCAATCTACAAAAAGATATCCATTCTCCGTACGGGTCTCAAAAACAATAAGTTTATGTGACATGACACGTGACGCACGATACAGTATTTCACGGAACAAAAATGAAGTAAGCGCAAAAAGATATTAAAATTAAACAACATGTGAATTACACAATATTTAATTATTTCGCCAGTAACTAAGGAGATGTAAATCATTTAATTTTTTGGCTTAAAACTCGCTATAGTTTAATAAAACAAAATTGAGGTGACTTAGTATTTTTTATCGACAAATTTTATTCTATTCAGTTTTTTAATTACAGTCAACCATTAAAATTATAGTGAATAATCAATGCATATTTATTGTTTTTATCCAACCATCATATACAATTCAAATCTTCGATGAGTAATTTTAATTAAGCCTGTTAACTGTGCTGGAAAGATTTAATAATAATACTACAAATAAGTCCAAGTCCAAGCTGACTTTATATATCGGATCTCAAAGGATGTGTTACGACAATGTTGAAAACATACTTCAAAGGAAAGTCACGAGAACTAGCTTACTGAATTAATTCAGAACATTTTCAATAATCCCACCCTATGAATACGACAAAGCCGATTCCATCCAAATTGCTTTTAAAGGAATTCGAATCAAAGGATAAGGGATATTGTGTTTTTTTAAAGAAAAATACATTATTTAAAAATATTATAATCATTATAATATGCCTGGTGCTAATTAAACAAACTTTTAAAATTATTATTAATATTAACGTTTTGGATCATCGTTTCTTGTAAAAACAGCAAAGGAGTGGAATTCCTTGCCTTGCTTCCATCTTTCCAGGGAGTTTAATATGGGTTCATTTAAGGCCATAGGCCACATCTCACTTAACATCAGATGGGATTGTGGTAAAATGTGTATCCAGTTCTGTATAAAAAAAAACCTTATAATTATCAGTGCATAGCAGTTTTGGCCTAGTGGCTTCAGCGTGCGACTCTCATCCCTGAGGTCGTAGGTTCGATCCCCGGCTGTGCACCAATGGACTTTCTTTCCATGTGCGCATTTAACATTCGCTCGAACGGTAAAAACATCGTGAGTAAACCGACATGTCTTAGACCCAAAAAGTCATCGGCGTGTGTCAGACACAGGAGGCTGATCACCTACATGCCTATTAGATTGAAAAATGATCATGAAATAGATTAAGAAATCTGAGGCTCAGACCTAAAGAGGTTGTAGCGCCACTGATTTATTTATTTTAAATATATATCTTATACCGCCAAATGTTTTAAAATTTGATATCTATCAAACATAATAAATACTTTAACTCAGGCTTATAACACCGAAAATGTCAGAAATATTCTTTATAAAAACCTTTAACCGGTGTCCGCAATTATGCTTTGCTACAGCTTTATTCGTACCAGCTTAATAATTGGTTCAATTAATTAAAATTTAATATTCTCTTTAATGGCGCCACTTAAAAGTAATTAACAACGCTACATAATTTTACTTTAATCTTTACAAAGCTTAAGCGTTTTTGGAGGAATAGATAATTTATAATCTAATTTAATTTAGTAAAATTTTATGCATTTCAATGAGATTAATAACTTTGTTTAAGACTTTAAGGCGAATTCGGGAAGTATTAAGTAATATTAGTTAATAAGTTTAGTTTTTTAGTTTCGTTACCTTTTATTCGTGCGTACTGCTACAATGAAGTATTTTGAGTGTTTTTAGCATTTCTTGAGAATCCCTGACATTCTTGGGTGTCTCAAAAGGAAGTTCATATTTCGTTGATCGATTAAAAAGTAAGTCGTGTATAAAAAAAGTGTTTATTTATTATTAAAGTACACATTTTGGAAATTTATTTTTTTAAAATAATACTCGAGTTTGCGGCACTCATTTAATGGAACAATAAAATTACTTATGACAGTTCGGCAGGTGGACTCAGTGATAGCTGCCATTTCGTGACGGATAGTTTCTTTCATTTGCGCCAGAGAAGTCGGCTTATTGGCATAGACTTTAGATTTAAGATAACCCCATGAGAAAAATTCTATACGGGTTAAATCAGGACTGCGTGGAGGCCAATTTATGTCACCTATCCTGGAGATCAATTTGCCTGAGAAAATTTCACGAACTCGTGGCAGAAACGTATTGGACGTGTGTGACGTTGCTCCGTCCTGCTGGACCATGTTCTTTGGTTATAGCCAGGAAAGTCGTCTAACATTGCCACATAACGCTAAATAAATAAATGTAAACTTTCTTTTGATACACCTATTATAATCATTACTTTCCGATAAAACCGAAGTGCGGCGGTGAACTTGCACCTGGAAAAATATATAAAAGCTTTGTTAGTAAATAAAATATTTGTTCTTCAATGGGTACTATGGTCTTGAATCGTAGCGTATTAAAACAAAAACATATGATACTTATATTAAATTTATACCAGTAGTTCTAGTTATATAATTACGAGATATCACATGAAATCAGAAAGTTTTGACGACGATAATTATGTCAATGTTAATAACGTCTCTTGAGAAAAGTTCCCTAATGAGCCGACATCAACTCAAATTAACTTTACGGAGTTTTTAAAATTGATAATTCATACACGCTCATTTTGAATAATTTGGTACGTATTAAGTAACCTATTGCTATGTATTAATTCAGATTGATCCTGGCATGAGTCCCAAAACTTCCACTATGTCCCACAGATCGGTTAAGATATTTTAAATATATATATAAAAAATTTTGTTAGAAAAAAGATTTTCGATTTTTTCAACAAAATTCATCTTGGTAATACCTGTACATTTTGAAGAGCGATAACATTTAAAACATTACAGCCACCGTTCGCAATTGAGTTTTCCATTAAAGAAAATAATTTAAACGCTTTTTCCCGCGGAATTAATCAGAAATTCATAAAGAGGCAAGTAATAAAACGCCACACCAATATCACATTGATTGTTTCTGCAACGCTGTTTGATTGCGGTCCGTACAATTATATGAGATGCGCGGAGATATTGCTTTCAATATGGCAATCTATACGGCTTTGATATTATTCCTTTGTGTCGTTTTATGTCAATGCCAGTATAATTATGTGAAGTATGGCAGTAAGTTTATCTATTATTTATATTTGTTGTATTACCTTATACTTCGTTAGTTTAAAAATCTAAAAAGTAATACAAATTATTATTTTGATAAGCATAAGGCATACATTTGAGTTTCTGTAGCTACTCCCTTAGTAGTTTTTATTTACCTACTAACGATTAATTTATGGGAAAAAACTACAATGAGATTTTGTGTAGTATTGCCTAAACATTGTAAGATGTTTGACCTAAGATCTTAATACATTGTATAAGCGAGTTAATAGTATCGTCGTGAAAAAACAAATAATATGAACAAATTGTGTTCTTAATAGAAATGGTAGATGGTTGATGGTTTGTTCTTAGATCACGTCTATATCGAAATTAATTTCGGCTTAATCGTATAAGGATGTAATCGAAACTAATATGTAATATACAAACCGCAGCTACGTATTATTATTAGCTATACAACTGCGGTGTGTGTTACGCATGTGTATTTAGTACTAAATATTATATATTATAATGGCTTATCTTAAAATATTTTTGGAGTTTACTCCTTAAGAAACGATTTGAGTTATAAGGCCCGGTACGGAAATTTTATGAGGAGTAAAATCAAGTGCAACACGAAAAGTTGAGGCGTTATGTGTAACACGAAAAGTTGAGGCGTTATGTAGAAAGAGACAAATGGATTGAACGTGTAAAAGAATGAGATGGAATACATTACACAGACTTTTCTATTTTGAATTTACGTTTTGACAGCCACGTTACAACATTGTCAGTGTTGACAGGTGTAAAAAATAAAAGTAGATTGTCTAGCGTGCCATAGAGTTTTGTCAATAGTAATGGTCAGTGAAATTAAAGCTAAAAAGATTGTTCATTCTTATTCTTCTCTTACTATAAAGGTAACTTTGGTCACAGAAAGAAAATCCTATTTGGGCATAGATGATGTAGGTACGTTTTATTACTACTACAAACATTTATATTATAAAAACATATATTCTTACCACCTTTAGTATGAAAATATGGTCGACAGCCACAGAACATTATCGCCAATTTATCGTTCGTAAGGAGTAAACTCCAATCGTGCGTCGTAGCTGACACACACACACTTTTTTATTTGACATAATCTAAATCAGGAGCCATATTTATGTAATTTGTTTAATTGCAATAAGTACATACCCCCACTTTCACACCAACATACAACACAATTAGGTTTTACTTTTTTTAATGATTTTTTTTTTCGTATAGTAAAAGGTTCACTTTTTTTGTATATTATGTATTCCATATTTGGCTATATCGTTACTATAATTGTTTTTGGTTATATATAATTTATGGTAGCTATAGGATTACAAAATAAATAAATAGATGAAAACAATTGCGGCCCTTTCGTGAATGTTTCTACTGTAAAATAGGAAGTACAATGCAAATTAATTTAAATGTTGGTAAACAGAAAACTAAATATGAATGATAAAGGAAGATAATTTACCAAAAACGGCTGTTGCAGACAATCTCCTCGAGGGAAAGGAATAACATTTTTCATTATTCACCATTGTTAAAAAGTTATTTTAATAAGAATGAAAAATCAGAGCTTCTCATGAAATCACATTCATAAAACGAGTGGATTTTATAAGGAAATCTTGGAAATTGTAGTCAAAAGTCTAAATTAGTTAAGTCAATAAATTTAATTATTTAGATTGTCTATGAAATAGATTTTCTTATACTTGATACACGTATTTATTGCTTAAACTTAGACGTCCATTTTTTAAATATCAATGGAAGTTCTGCGGGTGTGTTTAATAGATAAATGTATAAAACCTGTGCTATATCTGTATGCACACTCAATAATCAAATCATATAAAATAGCATAAATTAAGATAAGTTTTCATTCGTATCCAGTACCAATTTTAAAAAGTAATAGCTCGTGTGGCACACACCATATATCAAGAATACATTTATTTGACATACATTCAGCTGAGCCTCCCTTTGCTTTCTACTTTGTTGTTTACCGAACTCTAAACATCAAACAATAAATCTCCCTAAATTGTCTTAAAACTTATTTAACTTTTAGGAGCTGACAATGGTCCCTTTCCGTCTAGTTTAAAGAACATGCCATACTATTGCTATCAAGTGCCATCGAAAGGGCCCTGCGAGGGCATGTTTTATGTGTGGTTCTTTGACGTAGTGAGAAGAAAGTGTATGCCGATGATGTATTCAGGGTGCGGAGGTAATGAGAATAGATTTACATCGCAAGCCTCATGTTACATACACTGTGAAAAGGCTAGACGGATTTGATCAACATTTTTTAAACGCGCCTTATATGTTAATAATTATTATAAAAAAGTAAAGTATTTAATTTTAATAAATTTGTTTTTCTTTTAATAAGTGAATAGACGTGAAAATTAATGGGATACATGGAACTGCTATGTAGATTTAAAAATGAAACTAAAAATACAATCCCATACAAAATATTTTAAAATCTATTTGAAAAGAGTAAGTGTAGACATTCTTCTCCACACGAAACTACCTTTTGGGAGGGGCAACTAGAATCATCTTTATATTTTATTTGGCGTTTACAAGTGCCATTTTAGGTGGTCTAATTGCAACAAATGATTTGACTTTTTTATTATTTTAATATATTTTTTCATGTATTTCATTTTAATAAATTTGTTTTTCTCTTAATAAGTCAATAGTCGTGAAAATTCATGAGATACATGGAGATTTGCTATGTAGATCTAAAAATACAATCCCATACAAAATATCTTAAAATCTATTTGAAAAGAGTAAGTGTAGACTTTCTTGCCCATTCTTCTAAACACGAAACTACCTTTTTAACAACTAGAATCATCTTTATATTTTATTTGGCGTTTACAAGTGCCATTTTAGGTGGTCTAATTGCAACAAATGATTTGAATTTTTTATTATTTTAATATAATTTATTCATGTAGGTCATTCAATGTACACGTATGAAGGTCAGTACATAAAAATAATGCTTCTAAATTTACTCAAAGAAGAAACAACACCGTATTTGAATTGCGCATTACTGCAATTACTTTACCACTACTAACGATTAACGAGCATATATAATTATTTTTAGAATATCTGGAGATACAGCTGCTGCATTCTCAGGATTAGCGATCTGATTAAACTGTCCTTTGTGACGTGTCTTATGCTCTGCAAATACTGCACTGCTCTTCGTTTGTCTTTTGTGTTGTGTGACATATAACGTATTTTCAGCGCTTAAAGCGAAGTTCTGGTTGTAGTTTAGATCCTAATGAAATTCTAGGCTATAATTTCGAATGAGTTATCACTCGGGCTTACTATATATTGTGGTCGACAGTTGTCTCACATATCTATTGATCGCTGGCATATATCCGGCTCGAAGGATCAAAATGTTCTACGGTTGTGTATGTAATTATTTAACGCTTTAAATCAACGGGTTGAGAGTGAGACTGCAATAGAGTGCCGACTTGTTTTTATGACTCGGAGTACCTATACTAAGTCCTACGTACTGTAGACAATTTAATTTTTATACGAGAAATAGTTAAACTTTATGGAGTGTTTACTAACTTATTTACTTGGAATAATAGTATAAATAAAATCTTTTCGGATTACTTATAACAATTTGTTTGTTAATATTAATGTGTCACCGGCCCATTATCATGATATAGTCAACAAAATTCGCATCATGTTAAATAAAAATAAAGCCTTAGTAAATTAACATATCAGTATGAGAGGTTTTCAATAAATCGTAATTCCAAAATATTCACAAAAGTCAAACATACTCCTGCGTTATACGTTTCTTAAAATGTATTTTAGTCATAACTTCAACACCTTATCAATTTGTACTACGCCATGTGCGTTAACCACTAACCCACATAAATACCTCTTACCCTGTAGGTATACCCTTTTTTATGTCTGTAACGCCTTTACACCCTTCGCGGCTCTTATGCGGGATTTCGTCACTGTACCCTACCCACTAAAACCCCACATCTTCTCGCTTCCGGACGGGGCGTTAACAGCGAGGGCGCACCCCGACCGTAGCATGTATACTTCTTACAAGAGTTATTGATACTTAAATATCTGGTTTCATGTCTGTTTCTAAATAACACGGAGCAAAACTCTCAATGTGGGATCTCTCTGCATCTTCTACCGCATTTACCATGGAGAGTGTTCAGAGGAGTTGTTCGGACTATACCTGCAGCTGAGTTTCATCATCAGACGTCAAGGCAGAATACAAAATACCATCCGTATCACCTTGACGTCCGTCGTTCCACAACTGAGCGATTCTTAAGGCAATTTCTGCCGCGCAAAACCAATATGTGGAACCAGCTGCTCACTAAAAATTTCCGAACCAATCCGACTTAGGGTTCTTCAAGAAAAGAGCGAGCCAATTCTTAAAAGGCCGGCAGCGCGCTTGCGAGCCTTCTGGCAGTGCGAGTGTCCATGGGCGGCGGTATCACTTAACATCAGGTAAGCCTCCTGCCCGTCTGCCTCCTGTAACAAAAAAAAATTGGCTACAAGAATAGGAATGTAAAGCTTTATTTAAACTGCAAACATAATCAAAGGATTGTAATGAACGAAACTCGTCTATCAACGTAACAGACGTGCCAAAATATTAATGAACGCAATCAAGTGTTAGATTCGTGCGTGGCTCCCAGGTTCCTCGAAATTAATTAAAGGCAACACAAGGCAAGGCCTCACACTCCATTTGGTTGATTTGTTCACGCCTCGAAAATCACATTTTCTTATTCCCTTTTAAACCGTTACCGCGCTCACGAATACTAAATTCCTTATTTTTACGCCAAAATACCAGAGAAAATATTTTGCGCTTGGCTATGCCGCAGGAAAAACGATTGGTTTTATTAAAAGAAAAAAGGAACGGGGTTTATTTTGTTACGCTGTGCTGTTTATACTGAAAGTATTCATATATTATTTCAATTAAATTGTATTAACGCATACCTATTTCTTTAATTGTCTTATGTTTTAATGTGATAGCCATGTCATTCGCCGCTTACCTAGCTGGTCATGCTAAAAACGTTGATATTTTTGTTTCCAACGTCATCAAAACTTAAAATAGATAAGGCTTTTTAGTGTAGTATTTTATTGAAAATACCTTTTGCAATGCTTAATACCAAATTAGTGTGTTTATTGTTAATGTTCATTCGCATCACCTTGATGACTGGAAGTTTTCCACGGTCCACTTCGTTAGGCATTTTCTTTTGCGAAAATGTACGTACTTTGGAGGGAGGGAGGAGGTACTACAAGGAGATACGATACCAATTTTTTCAAGCATATTCCTTCCTCAAAGCGCGGCAACGCACACCCTAAAATGGGTGACCATAGTCTGCAATGACTTTAAGCAGCCCGTAGGCTTGTTTGCCCTCCTAACCTATAATAAAATTTTGCGCCTTACCAATTGTATTGCTCTTAGGTAAAATACCTAGAGGGCCTTACCCTTTGAACGGGCTTAATAATTAAATCACTAGAGTCTGGCTAATGAAAGAAGATAACGAAAACGTTTGGCAAATTCAAAAAAAATTAGTATGGTATCCCTTAAAGTTTGATATATTTTGTGGATTAAACTTACTTGATTTAATTTTATTATTTTTTACATTGATAGTAACTGTATTTCTATGAAATTAAATACTATACGTATTTACGATTTTACTATTGATACTTAAAATGGCTAGCATTGCATGGAAAACTAAAACTATATTTATTATAAAACACAACTTTATTCGGTATAATCAAATCCTGCAAAAGAAACGACATATTCTATCATATCAAATAAAACAAAGTTTAGGCTATTATACCTGTTAACTATTCGGAAAAATATATAGTAGAAATAAAAATGAGTAATTGCATGAAGTATCAAGACAATAAATCATACTAACCTAAGAAATTCAATGACATTCTTTCTGTGTTGCCATCCGAAAGTTTTCAAATAATTCAATTATCTTCTTTAAACCCTGTGACAAACATTCAAGTATGAATACTAATATGAAACTGTGAGTACGAGTGTCACACACGATTTTTATCCTAATTGCACGGACGAAGTTGCAGGCATCAGCTAGTTGCTAATGAATCCGCCCAAGGACCTGACCCACTTCCAGTCTCATTAACGTGTGGCCACGAAGCGGTCGGTACAATCATTTACGAGCACGAAAGTATTCAAACGACGTTGTAGCTTTAAAATGTTGAACGAAAATTGAATTTGCGTGGGAAACATTTGAGTGCTTTGGGCACGTTAGTGTTTAAATGTTTTGGATTCAATGTAGACATTTGTCATTCACGAAATAGTATACCAATTCTTAAAAGGCCGATAACGCACTCGCGAGCCCTCTGGTTCAGAGTGTCCACTTAACCCCTGCTTATCTGAGTTTCCTGCAAATTTGCTGTTCTTTGAAAGGAAGCTGATAAAACAAATATTTATACATAGTTTTATCCGATTATATCTGTTCATATATCTATACTTTCAGGAGATAATTAGGTTTTGATCAACAAATAAGACTTTCAGATTTTCTTCTAACAACACATAAATATTATTAGATTTTTCTTGAAAATGTAACAATGAAGTTTAATTCCAGTATATACTACATAATTCTATGAGTGATCCTTCTTTAACCATCCGACCCTTGTCGCCCCTAGCTTTACTTGTTCACAAAAAAGACCACATACGTTGCGAACGTGTCACACACGTTTTTTAAATCAGACCTATCTTCTGATATTATTTAAATAATAACCATTCAATATGTTGTTCTAAAATATACAAATTTAGTATAAAATTACGATTGATTTGTGAAAAAAGTGAGGTTGCCCCCCAGAACCGAATTAAAAGAGATAGAAATAGGAAAGATTAGAAAATAAGAGCGAAGATGAGAGACAAATGGAAGAATTTGGAGGCCTTCGCACCATGGGAGGTAGTAGGTACTAATATCAATGTTATAAACATAAACTTAATTTAATCCTTTTTTGTACTAGAATATAGGTTATTTTTATTTTATTTTAGTTTTATTATATGAAAAACCACCACAAGTATTACGCTATACTTGTGCTTATATTAAAGGCTATATCGAAACGATTTAAACAACTTTACGTTTTAAACGTTTCAATTGAATAAACATTTTTATACCCAAATGATTGTGGTATTAACATTATTGCTGTGGCGGCAGTGATACGAGTAATTTTATCGTTTATAAAATGTCATAAATCAGTCGAATACTGGAAATCCCGTTGATACGAACGTTCGTTTTGATAAATTATTCGAATGGGTCTTTAAAAAATTGATCATT